GAAGGGTGCCCGGGTTTAAAGTAAATGCAGATCTCATAAAATGTTCACTTGCAATAGAGCCACTAAAAGGAGATGCTTTCACTTGATAGATACTCAGAATCTTCAAATGAAGTCAGGGTGCATCTTGAAAATGTAGGCGAAAGAAATAGAATACCAAGGATGTAAACAATATATCCCAATGCAAAGGCTCAATTTGAAAGAAGCACATATCAGTTTTCCAATAAAAACAGCTGCTGGGGTTCTTACAGCAAACCTGTAAATGAGTAAATAATGCCCAAGACTTTCAAAAAAAAATTCATTGCTTCCACCTGACTGTGCTCTATGTATTACACTGTTTGCCCCTAATAAAGCGATTCCATATTTACAGTAGTGGGAAGCTTTTAACTAAAATGTTTGCTACATATTCAATGGATACCACACTCCTATAAAAACTCTACATATGGTTTTCTGACAGTTGTTTTAGGTATAAAATAAGAAACAATTACAAAAATCCACAACCAAAGAACCTGTTTGTCTATACACAGAGCAGAGTTTCCAGTGCTGTGTCAATTTGGCACCTTTTATAAGCACTGTACTCATTTTAAAGCCAAGATCTTTTTGACACTTTTATAACCATTAAATGTGCAGAGACTGAGAAAGAGCAAGTGCACTCCAAGACTTATTCACTCAGCCATACAGTTCTCAGTCTACTGCACTATGCATATGCATTGATTAGTATCCCTAGAAGTCAGCTAGATACCACAATTAGGCAAGCAAAGCTTGCTACTAGTAATTTATACAATGTACTTTAGATCCAATTACACAGTAATGACTGAGAAGCAGATAGTTGCTGGCAGCTAAAACTGCCTCAAATGGCTTTCCTTGAGGGAAAGCCAATGGGCATCAGGGAAAAAATAAAAACAGTCCCACAATATTTAAAGCCATACTTCCCATCCACAAAGTTGTAATACTCCAATCAACAATTGGATGGAAAAGGTTTGTGTCACAAATAGCACTTTTAAAATGCAATTAGAAACATTGGTTTAAAAAACCAAATGCATCTTAGAACTCTAGGATCTAATCCATTTTAAAAGAGAGCACTCTGGACTGAGGGATGTGTTATGAGTATAATTACTTCAGGCTCATTTACTCTACGTGCACCTCCAGATGCGTTAATTCTAAGTGGTGAACTGGGGTGCTGGAGCTAGAGGTTCTTGTAATGCAGCAGCACCCTCCGATTTGAAGTGGATTCCATCATATAGAAGGATTACAGTTTTGTTCAGTGGCTTTCAGCATCTCCACCCTAAAACTTATTCTAACACCACTGCAATGAGATCCCAGCAACATTAAGAAAGGGGTGGGGGGTGAAAAGGAGTTTTTCCATTTCAAAGATCTAGCTGGGAATGGGAAAACATCTGAAGAAATGACTACCATCTGGAAAATTTTGTAGCTCTCCCTATGAGAGAGAGAATGCATAAAAAGAATGAGTTATGTGCAATGAGCACTGGTCCTAGCCACAGACGTTATTGTAGAAACTGTAGATCCTCATAAATATGACAGACTGAAAATATTAAAACCCAGTTTTAGAACGTAATTTTGTTAGCATTCTTGTCATAATGTGTTTAAAGCAAATTGAAACTGCCAGCTCTTTTGAGCCTTTATTGAGAAGTGTATTTTAGCTACTTGGTACATTTACAAGAATCCCACTCCTCCCACCCCGCAGCTCTCTCCCCCACCCAAAAACCCATTTGCTTGAAGAAAAAAATAACATTTTTAAGTTAAATTTCCTTTAAATATAAAACAAGAACAAAAAAATGTAAACAGGAATTGGCAAGTCAATGTAGTTATAATTTCTTGGAGTTCCTTGCCAAAAATGCAGCATACAAGCAAAATCCAGTCCTGGCTAACAAAGTTTGGTAACAAGAGAATCCATTGGCCAATGTAAAAATCTGTAATCAAAGTCAACATGCTAATATATTGCACTTTAACAAAAATGGGGTGAACAGAAAATACATTCAAGTATGACCCGATGTATACAGACAGCTGAACCCTAAATCCCAGCCACAAAGCATAAAGTGAAATTACATTATCATTAACATTGTGCAGCTTAATGATACAATTGTTATGCAGACATAACAGTTAAGATATCCGGTGCCAAAATATAACATTTTACAGAGCGAAAAAAATGAGAGTCCCAAATATGTCTCAACTAGACACTAGTGACAAGGTATTTAATGCAAGGCCAGCCATTACCAAAACACCATTGATACAAAAAGATGAGTGGAACAATGCAGGGAATCTCTTCATAAACATATAAAGCAGAAATGACCTTTCATGATGTGCGGAGTAGCCTTCATAACTAAACATCTCAGTAGCAAATCTTGCCTTTATTTTGCAGTGTCTCCAGTAGTCCTAATGTATCAACCCTACATCAGCCACTGGAACTGCTTGAACAGAAATCCAGACCACAAATTACTGGGCTTAGTTCTTTGGTAGTATGTGAAAGCAAGCACAGCTTGCATACAGCAAAGGATGGGCACAAGCATAGGTGACAACCCATATGAGTACACTGTGCTAATCACGGAATACCATGCATACTTCACTTCCTGCTCTTGGCATCTTACTGACTGTAGAATGCTGGCTGAGTATTACAACCTTATTAAGCATAACCTGGCCTGTCTACATTGGAATTGTATTCATTCTATGGTCCAGCTGAAGTAGTGAGCCCACCGAGGTTAGTAGCACCAAATTAAATTCATCAGCCTGGTTTTACTTGCTCTTATTCTGGTTAATTTATGTTATAATGGAAGCTGATTCTTCCAGAGCCCAGCTCCAGCTCTTAGTTGTCCTACCCACTTCTAAACAAGATCAGATGTCCTACCCTATATAATACTTGTCAGGATGTAAAAATCATTGGATACAATGTTTGATATGGATATAGTACACATCAGGAAATATTTTAGCTGGAATATCTTCTTCATAAACACATACCACCTGTTTAAGCTAGGCTAAATCCTAATATAATGGCCAGGTTTGCATAGGGAATTTGAAGGCATTAGATAATATGCAAAGTCCCTTTCATCTTACTGCATGTTATGAAAATTAACTCTCCATTATACTAACAATAACTTAAAATCTTTCCCCTTTAATAGTAGAATCCTCATGGTTAAAATTAGGAATGATTTGCATTTAGAAATAAGAACAGTCACATTCAACCACCAAGAAAAGTTATATTTCTTTGTCTCTTTCTGCGATTAAAAGAAAACAGAAGGCTTTTTTTTTAAGTGTTGGATTGAAGAAGGTAGGGCATCACTTTTTAAAATATATTTTTTTCTATGTTTAATTCAAAATTCCAATTTTCTTTTTTTTTTCAAAACTAAAAAAAATATGCACTTGCTCTATACTAGGTAATCAAAAACAAAAAAAAAGGGCAAGAGAAAGTTTTCAGGGAAAGCTTATTCAATTTCTTTCCACTGGAAAAAAAAATTAGAAATGTTACTGAAGTGACAAATTTCAAAAAATTTAACTATTTCCGGTCAAAACAATCATACCACATTTTGTATAAATAAATATATTTACAGCCTTCAAGATTAAATATATCACATGAAGTTTAAGGCCAACATGGAGTTTATAATGGATATACTTTCAAAGCCTTTATTATACTGGCTTTAATTGTTTAGTGTCTTGTTTTTGATGTTGTTTCTCAGCCACAACCGCTAATATCAACTGACCTTTTAACTGATTGTGCCAGATCAGATATATATTTATAACAGATCATAATAAGCAGGTTTTGTGACTATATATTAGTAAAAAGATATTACTTGTCTTGAACTGCAAAATCAAAGTAAAATATTTGAAAATCTGTACACAAAGTAAATTATCTCTATGTATTTAGAAAAATATAGCACAGAAGTTGTATTCATTTTTCTAGTAGCCTCTTTCCTAGTGTTTATAAGTGTTTATTTAAACAATTTTAATATATGAATTATGGAAATAATGCATACCTATGTATTATATAGGGGTGTGTGTGTGTGGGTGGGTGGGTGGGTGTGTGTGTGTGTGTGTTTAGAACTGAGCATATAGGTAAGCTCCATTGCAGTTAAGAGTTTGGTTGCATAAGAAGTGTTAGATATTTGGAAAATATATAGAAATAGGTTTTTAAATTTCAGGAAAATGCTACAATGTTGCATGTCTACATTGATAAAATGCATCTTAGCATCTTCTCAACATTTGTAAACATTCACAGTCCTACAGTAATAATATTTAGATATGAATGAAAGAGTGCATACTCCATTGCAGTTAAGAGTTTGGTTGCATAAGAAGTGTTAGATATTTGGAAAATATATAGAAATAGGTTTTTAAATTTCAGGAAAATGCTACAATGTTGCATGTCTACATTGATAAAATGCATCTTAGCATCTTCTCAACATTTGTAAACATTCACAGTCCTACAGTAATAATATTTAGATATGAATGAAAGAGTGCATACATACACGGACTGATTTTAAAAATATGGAAATAATGTCTTTTGTTTAAAATATAGACTTAGTTTTAGCAAGCATGCTAATAAAAACCAGATTTGTTCTTAGACTGCCCTTTCTATGTTATATTAGAAGTTATAACTACTCATAGATGGTGGAAATAGTTACATAGTCTTATTAGGAATTTATATGGCCTTTATCTAGTATTTTAGCACCAGTCACATACATCACAGCTACATCTACATTGGCAAGATTTTGAACAAGTACTTTTAACACAAGAGTTTTTGTGTTAAAGTATTTGCGCAAAAGAGCATCTATACTGGCATGTGCCTTTGCGCAAGAGATGTGCTTTTGCGCAAAAGCATCCATGCCAGTGTAGACGCTCTCTTGCGCAAGAAATTAACGTTGCCTGTCTACACTGGCCTCTTGTGCAAGAACAGTTGCGCAAGAGGGCTTATCACTGAGCAGGAGCGTCAGCGTATTTGTACAAGAAGCACTGATTTTATACATTAGAACGTCAGTATTCTTGTGCAAGTACTCGCGGCCAGTGTAGACCGGTGGCAAGATTTTGCACAAAAGCAACAACTTTTGCACAAAATCTTGCCAATGTAGACACAGCCCACTATACTCAGACCATAAGCTTTTTTAGGGTAGGCACTGTGTTACTGTTGCATGTTTGAACAATGCTTAATACAATGGAATCTTGATCCCTGACTGGCACCACATTATCTGGAGGCAATGCAGTAACAAATAACATGCAGATATTCATAATTGAAAGTAATGTCCATGTAATTCCTCTCCTGATTAGTTAAGGAATCATAAAAATGTAGGGTTGTAAATGACCTACGGAACTATCTAATCCAATTCCCTGCTCGGAGGAAGAATTACAGGGCAGATTAAGACTATGTAGCTGCTGGTCAATTTAAGATGATTCTTCATTGCCTGTACCCATGGAATTCTTTATGCCTGTGGTAAGCAAGTGCAAAGCATTGCTGTTCTGATTTAGTAGTGATTTATACAGACTTTACAACAGGGACAATAACATGGCAGTGGCTTGCTAGAGTTAGCCACGGCTGCTATTTTTACCTGCATGGAAACAGGTATTGGAATTACTGCTCCTATTGGCTGCAGGATTGGCTGCTCCTATTGGCTCCAGGCCAATGAGAGTGGCGGGAAGCGGAACGGACCACAATACAGCCAATGGAAGCTGCAATCACCAGTACCTGCAGCCATGCAAGTAAATATAGCAGTGGGGACCTCCAGGAGCTAACCCACATAGACCAGATCTAGCCCAAAACCTGGTATTTACCCACTCTTCCTTGACATCAAGGTAAACAAAAGCCATGGTTCTCAGGACCTAATGACCTGTTCCTGAAATATGAGATCCTCACAGCCACTCCAACTCCTGCATGCTAGGTGAAGGAGCAGCATAAAAGGGGCTCTAAAAGCCCTGGATCTGAATAGAGGAGAATAGCCCCAGTGCACTAATTTAGTAAGATAACATCAAGTTATTATATGATAACCCCTTCATATGGTCAGGCATAGATGGTGGGAGGCTAGGAATGGGATGGGCATGTCAAGCTGGACCTGCAGCACTGCTGAAGTTCTGGATGACACTGATGCCCATAGAGAGCTATGGGCAGGATGCTAATAACTTAAACATGCCTCTAGACCACTTCTGTCCCCAGAGTACTCTGGAGTAGAGAGCGTGCAATGATGATTTACCTTCACTGTGGCCTGCCCTTTCCCTGGGCTGAAAGCTATATGTTGTGCTCTAAGGACTGCAACTCAGAATCTCTCTGAAGTCTTTCCAGTGATAACATTTTCATTGGGAGTTCTGCCTGCATAGGGAATATCAGACAGAGCTTGAAAAGATCAACACTAAAAAGAAAAAAAAATCATGTCCCATCTTCCCAGGAACTGGTGTTTTGGTAGTAGTTGCCTGGTAAAGATGTTGAGGGTGAAAAAAAGGAGTATAAAAGTTTACAGTCCTGATTCTTATCCAAACTAGTAATAGTAGGACACAAATCTTTAACACTATACTAGTTTCATTGATTTGTGTGGGTGCAGGATTTGGCCCTAAATGAGAAAAACAAACAGATTTAAAATGCTTTTTTGGGGGATCTTGAAGATGACACCTTAGAAAAGGTGAAGAACACCATTCAAGGATTTCTATATTGTCTATTTCTTTTGTTTTGTGCAACCATTCCCATTGCTTCAGCATCCAACACATGTTCTTAGTACTGACTTTTTGTAACTCAGTGGACATCCCATCAAAATATTTTTGCATTAACATTGTATGTATTCATGGAATTGAATAAATACTTAGTATCATAAGCCTATGTGTGCCATTTTAAAAATAATTGTTATTTCACAAGTTATTTTCTTCTTTCAAATGCACAATTGCAGAAGATGAAATGATTTCTCTTAGGAAAAATAATTGCATGAGCAAAACAAATGCAAGTGAAAAGTGAATGTTGGAACAGACTCTCTTAACACTTCTAAATTTCAGCCTCTCTAACAAGAAAATGAAAATAATACAAGAGTAAACTTAAAGGGATCCAGTCAACTTAAAAATGTGTCTGAAGATATTTGCCTACTCTAGTTTCAAACAACTTCTTAATGTTACTGTAACAGAAAGAGATTAGAGGAAAATACTGTCCTATTTACTTTGTCCATTTAACAGCACAGAGGAAACAGTGACACTAACCGCACACAATCTAGTCAATTATTACATCTTCCCTGTTTCTGTGGGTCTTTCACACAAACAGGAGAGAAAAACAGTGCATAAAAATCAGGAAAATGTGATTGTAAAACCACAAAAACTGGCAGGAGAACTCAGAAGCAATGTACAGACTTCAAACCTCTTCTCTGTTAAAATTGGATTACTTCAGGTTGACAGGATCCATTTAACTGTAGAAGTTTTGATAGTTCTAGTGTTTCCTCAGCATTTATCACTTTAAAAGACTTTTGTCTGTTTCATAAAAATTTGGAAAAAGCAAACGATCTAATAGGCAACAGTTTTACAAGTAGTGCATTAAATATCTAATTACTTTTATTCTAACATATTAACTGTAAAATCTTATCATAAGGCTGGAGTAGTCTTTGAAATATAGAACCATTTTCTTAAGCATTTAAAATATTTTAATGTTCACCTACTGTGCAAAGTATTATCAACAGGAAGGGACAAGCTAAGTCACAATTGAGCTAAACTTACCCCAAACCACAACCTGAAAACCCCCAGCAACAACAACCTGTTTTGATTGTCAACCATTTTGCCTTCAATTTTTGCAATTCGGTTTCCTCTGTAATTTCTAGTTTCAGTTGAAACAATTGGGAACAAGGATGTAAGTTTTGTAGGAGAACATTATTTGATGAGATTTCGAGGTCTAAGAACATGGTATGTGTATAAGAAAATATCCCATAGGTTGTGTATATATCCAATTCAACATTCCAAATTTCTCTAGTTTGCCTGTCACTTAGAATGTTTATTCCAAAATAGCTGTCCTTCCTTGGACAAAATTCCCATTGATTTCAGAACTGGTGACACTTCCAATCACATCTGTTAAACAATTGTAATTGACTTTAATGGGAGCTTTGCCTAAATGAGGACTGCAGATCCACATATGCCTAGACAACAAATATTCATGTATGTTCAATGGTTGAATTTTAAATGTCTTGTCTTATTTGAAAGAATTTACTCGAAGCAGAGATATTTCTTATACATTTACCATGGAAGTAATAAAACCAGTGCTAACTAGTAGGCTGGTGGAAGCTTATACAATGGGTCAAATTACTAAATATCTATTTTCAATACTCATCTATTGGGGAAAAAAAAGCCTTAGGAAATGTAACAATCCTACTAGTCCACCACAAAGATGGGTGAAGTCACCATGTTTGCATAAGGGGAACTGATATGCTACTTAAATTGAGACAAGGGAAGTAACATGTGAAACATGTGAGTGAAGAATGGAGGAAGAGGAAGAACAAGACTGACCCAAACTTTTAGCTAAGGAGTCTTACCTTGCCCTTCTCTCCAATGAAGTCTAGGTTCTTCATGAGCAACGTGTAAGAAACACTATTTCTGATTACAAAAACATTTCCAGAACAAATGGTCATTGACAATGCAGCAAAATCCCCAAATTGAAGAATCTAAGGCTTGCTAAACTTGAATATTATAAAAGAGAAATATGGATGAGATTGTTCTTTGTTTTCTACTCTCACAGACAGAAGAGATGGAATTGATGTCCACAGCAGTTCTGTGGCTTCTGTTATTTTATAACACAGAGCAAATATACTTTCTACATACCAACTGTTTGTATGAAAACTTGAGAATGTAAAAAACAAACAAAGAAAAACCTAAAGCTCTGGTAACCAATTCATTTTCAGGTTTCATTGTAATTGTCTTGCTCTTGTAATTCATTGAACGTCCAGGGAGGGAAAAAACTCTCCTCACGTGAATGTTCCAAGCTGGAATGGGACATACAGGCAACATCTGTTTCTTCAGGATGTAAGTGATCATGATTTCAAGTTATCTTCTGTTGGGACAACTTCCAGGATGATCTGCAGGGTTTCAGTTACCTTACCTGGAAAGATAAAATATTAAAGAAACTATTAAAGAAACTGGAGATATGTAGGAAGCAATCAAAGAAGATTCTCCTAGAAGAGCTGTACAACTCACCAATTATACATGTCCATAAATATTTAGATGTACCTGTCATAGCATCATAAAATGTACCATTTAAAGAGCCATACCACTGTCTTACCCTTTCAAGTAATATTTTGCTCAGCTCTGTGCCAAAGAGAACAATTATGAAGCATAGAAGAGCTCTCATTTGTTGGCGAGACTTTTCTCTCTATTTAGACATTATCTCTAGAGTTAATTCTCTGCACAGTTGTTTATCTGAAAATAATGTCAGTGTTGGACTAAGGCCCAAATATGCTAAATGATGCACCCATATTCTGTGTCAGAATCTCCTTGATCCAAAATAAACCCAAATAAATAGGTACATATAATATAAATGCACTGGTTTAAACATGTTACATGTTAGAAATATTTTCCTATTACATAGGAACAGCCGTACTGGGTCAGACCAAAGGTCCATCAACCCCATTAGCCTGTCTGCCGACAGTGGCCAGTACCAGGTGCCCCAGAGAGGGTGGACCAAAGACAATGATCAAGTGATTTGTCTCCTGCCATCCTTCTCCAGCCTCTGACAAACAGAGGCCAGGGACACCATTTCTATCCCCTGGCTAATAGCCTTTTATGGACCTAACCTCCATGAAATTATCTAGCTTCTCTTTAAACTCTATTCTAGTCCTAGCCTTCACAGCCTCCTCTGGCAAGGAGTTCCACAGGTTGACTGCAGGCTGTGTGAAGAAGAACTTTCTTTTATTAGTTTTAAACCTGCTACCCATTAATTTCATTTGGTATCCTCTAGTTCTTCTATTTAGGGAACTAATAAATAACTTTTCTTTATCAGCCCTCTCCACACCACTCATGATTTTATAGACCTCTATCATATCCCCCCTCAGTCTCCTCTTTTCTAAACTGAAAAGTCCCAGTCGCTTTAACCTCTCCTCATATGGGACCCGTTCCAAACCCCTAATCATTTTAGTTGCCCTTTTCTGAACCCTTTCCAAGGCCAAAATATCTTTTTTGAGGTGAGGAGACCACATCTGTACACAGTATTCAAGATGTGGGCGTACCATAGTTTTATACAGGGGCAGTAAGATATTCTGGGTCTTATTTTCTATCCCTTTCCTAATAATTCCTAGCATCCTATTTGCCTTTTTGACCGCCGCTGCACTCTGTGTGGAAGTTTTCAGAGAACTGTCCACGATAACTCCAAGATCTCTTTCCTGATTTGTCGTAGCCAAATTAGCCCCCATCATACTGTACGTATAGTTGGGGTTATTTTTCCCGATGTGCATTACTTTACACTTATCCACATTAAATTTCATTTGCCATTTTGTTGCCCAATCACTCAGTTTGGTGAGATCTTTTTGAAGTTCTTCACAGTCTGCTTCTGTATTGACTATCTTAAACAGTTTAGTATCATCCATAAACTTTACCACCTCACTGCACCCCTTTCTCCAGATCATTTATGAATAAGTTGAAAAGGAGTGGTCCCAGGGCCGGCCCCTTGGGGGACACCACTAGTTCCCCCTCTCCATTCTGAAAATTTACTATTTATTCCTACTTTTTGTTTCCTGTCTTTTAACCAATTCTCAATCCATGAAAGGACCTTCCCTCTTATCCCATGACAATGTAATTTACACAAGAGCCTTTGGTGAGGGACCTTGTCAAAGGCTTTCTGAAAATCCAAGTATACTATATCTACTGGATCCCCTTTGTCTGCATGTTTGTTAACCCCTTCAAAGAACTCCAATAGATTAGTAAGAAACCACGCTGACTTTTGTCCAACAAATTATGTTCTTCTACGTGCCTTACAATTTTATTCTTTACTATTGTTTCGACTAATTTGCCCGGTACTGAAGTTAGACTTACCGATCTATAATTGCCAGGATCGCCTCTAGAGCTCTTTTTAAATATTGGTGTCACGTTGGCTACCTTCCAGTCATTAGGTACGGAAGCCAATTTAAAGGATAGGTTACAAACCACAGATAATAGTTCAGCAATTTCCCATTTAAGTTCTTTTAGAACCCTTGGATGAATGCCATCCGGTCCCGGAGATTTGTTAATATTAAGTTTTTCTACTTGTTCCGAAACCTCCTCTAATGACATTTCAAACCGAGACAGTTCCTCAGATTCATCACCCACAAAGGACGGTGCAGATTTTACATGGTGGTTAAGCTATGGTGACTCTTTTTTAGGTCTCTTGCTATGTTTTTTAATTTGGGGTATACATTTAAGTTGGGCCTCTATTATGGTATCTTTAAAAAGTTCCCATGCAGCTTGCAGGGATTTGGCTCTAGTCATTGTGCCTTTTAATTTCTGTTTAACTAACCTCCTCATTTTTATGTAATTCCTCTTTTTGAAATTAAATGCCAGAGTGCTGGACTGCTGAGGTGTTCTTCCCACCACAGGACTGTTAAATGTTATGGTCACTATTCCCAAGCGGTCCTGTAACGGTTATCTCCTGGATCTGATCCTGCACTCCACTCTATTCTTCTTTATTGAAGATAAGAATTAGGGATTAGTAGGATTTGTCCTTTAAGAGTTTTTCCTGTTTACACTGTTGATTCATATGCAGGCACCAATAACAAATATTGACCAAGGAAAGAGTTGCTTCTTCCTCAAAGCTAATCTTAAACTGTGAGGCATCCTTGCCAATAGAAGGCCTGATTCTCCACTGCCCAGTACCTTGTGTAGTCATTAATAACAGTGCAAAGTGAGGGCAATATGGTTCCAAAACACTACCATTCTGATTTGTTAGCATTTTAAACTCACTCTGCACTGGCATAAATGACTTAAGGTGCAAGGCAACGGAGAATCTCTATACTGCTCTTCTTTTTCTACCCTTTTAGTTTCGGTGGAGAGTTTGAATACAATATTTAAGGTAAGGATTTTTTTCCTGAAGAAATACTTTTTATTGAAGCCTGGATTATGGAAGTGAGACACTGAAAAACTGATGGTACTTATGTGCTTTCAGCAGTGGCTAGAGATATTTAGTCTGATTCTCATTTACACCATTCTGGCACCACAGGTCATATCTGTATCCACTGTAAAACCCTTTTTATACTTCCAGACAGGGTTGTCTTTATAGGTTATGGTGTCCTACAAGAAGGCAGGGGGAGGGGAAATGGAGGAGGGGCAGGCTGGTGGCATCCAGGACTGCAGGAGGGGCAGGAGCAGGACAAGAAGGCATAGTCATGGGAACTGGGGGGTACTGCAACCCTCCACACATACATATTTTACTTGTGTTCCCAACTGTCGCTAACCCTGTGCCCAGGATCCTCACCAGCTTCACAAACACAGTCCCATATCTCCCACTGTGCATTCTACTTGTGCCTAAGAATGGCCCTGCTTCCACAGCAGTTTAAAGAGACCTTAGCATAAATGAGAGTCAGGTTTATTGTCATCTAGACCTCCTGTGCAGGAACTCAGCATTGTTATCTATAACCACAGAGCAAAGGCTTGGAATGGAAAAGAATTCTCACAGTAAAAGCAGTGATTTAGTGGACATGTATATGACAGGACAAGGAACCTGCTGCTGTTCTGTAGCATAAAGCTAAGATGAATTCCTGTGGAGCCCAACCTCATTAACTCAACAAGCAGAGCTGCACTGAACATATCATACTACTCCTTGAATGGGCAAGTGGCACCCTCTGATGTCAGGAAATAGCAGCTAAAGAAATAGATGGATTTTATATATACAGCATATCAGATTTTATATGTACAACATATCAGCATATCAGGCTTGATATGGACTCAAGCCTCAAAATACAGAGCCATTGCTGAATTTTAAACTCCTCAAAGGTTGGAGTTACTCAGCTCATTATACAGAGACAGGGCACTGGGTAAATAGAGATCCAAATATGGGGCTGCTAATGAACACCCCCAAGTTCATGTGTTTTGAATCAGGTACACCTCTGATCTCTGTTACATTCTTTTCATTATAGATTTACTTTTGTGGGTGCCCTTTTTTTTATCTTCAGTTTTAGGTTAATTCTGTAAATGGTGAGAAAACAACCCGGTACAGATACGATTTGTCCAAGCACTGTGTGTCCTAGGTGTCTAATACTAGTGAAATATTAGCTTTCTAGTGCAAGATAAGGAGACATTTGAGAGTTGGGGAAGGCAGGGCAAACCCAAACATCTTTCTGGCTACCTGCATAGGCCAGGCATATTAATTCCACAGTGAGAAAAGTTATTTTTTATTAAATATGGTAATTTGATAAATAAGAAGAATGTTTATGTTGTAGTCTCTGTGGGAGATCAGCTAACTGCATTATTCAGATCTCAGAGAAGTATCTTAAATGGACTTATCCTGAAACAATGTATGTGAAAAATGCTCTTTGGTCTCTACAGTGCAACAGTATCAACTTCTGCAAAGTAAGATCTTTTTTTTTTAAATGACCCCAGGGATATTTCTCACTGCTTACTCTGAAACAAAGCTGTTTATTTAATGAGTAGGTTATCACCTCCTCCCCACCCCAGAACTGCCAGCATTGGTTTTCTCTAACTACTGTTGTTACTATAGGAATAACACGGGGAAAGTGAACAAGCTGTTTCACCCATATTGACAGGTGTCTGCTGCTTTCTCCTCTGAGCCAGCACTATGTGACTATATGTGTTACACAGACATCTGGCTTGATTTCCTGCATGAAGATCTGATGTTCTCCAAAGGGCTAGAAGAATCAGTTGGTAGAAAAGGTTTAATGTATATCCAATCTCCCTTAAAGAGAATATTTTCCTTTCACCTGAGTAATATAGTTCAACACTGGCATCCTGTGGCCACAGAGTTTCAAGGAACCATGTTGCAAAACCTTAGAGCTTCTCATCAGAAAAATGCAAACAAGTAGTGTTGGTTTATCAGGAAAATATATTCCAGTTGCTAAACTTCAAGCCAGAGAAATCATACAGTAAGAAGGACATCACCTCTTCAGAATAAGGTTGGTTAATTGCTGTTCAGGAGTCTATTAAATCATTGTCATTTGTACCAGTGCTTTCCACAGAGACTCTTGTGACACCAGTAATAACAAAGTAAGTAAGTAATTATAACACAGCACCTAATACATATATTTATTTTAAGATTTTGACTAAAACCTCAATGGCCAAATTTAGATTTTCTTACATTGGCTAACACTTTACTTTGCAAACAATGCTATTGACTTTAATAGAACTTTCCCAGAACTCCATGCATTGGGTGGCACAAACTGGCCTATCATTTGTAGAAGTACAGGCTGCATTCACACGAGCATTTTAAGCATCTTTAATAGGACAAGCTCATTTTAAATGCCCAATAAAGCCCAGTGGCATGGAGTTGGGGAAAGCTCTTGATTTTTTTAATTTCATAAACTACAGGGGAAAGTCATCTTCTGTCAATGTCTGTAGATTTTGCAAAATGTCTGCAGCATAAGGCAAGCTTTTCACCCAAGTTTGTTTAACATTACTCACCATTTCGCAAATCTCTTAGGAGATAGTTTTCAGTGCAAACAGAAGCATAAGCACTGTCTTATGATAAAACCTCATAAAATAGGGCTGAGTGACAAAAGGAAACATGGGAATGGAACAGCATTTTTTAAACTAATTGTGCTGTTTTTCCCTCTCTAACCAAAAGAAATTCAGGCAGCTCTTCCCCAACATATCAAAAGTTTCATGTGTTTTTTAAAAAAAATCCAAAAATAATAAATAAACATTTTCCTCAGATTCAGATGTTAAAAAATGACAGCTAAATTCCTTCAGGTAAATATGTTGGAAGTCATTCACAGAAAAGATGTAAACAGCCATCATAACAATATGTCAAATATAGAGCTTTTTATCTCGTAACTTTACTTTTTAATAGCCATTCTTCCTTAAAAAATGAGGTGTACAGGGTTCTTTCAAAAAAGGGGAGGGGGTTCTTTAAAAAAAACCCCGTCTAAACTGCGTTCACTTTTGAAAAAGTTTTCAGAAGATTATATGCAAATTAGCACCGAATTTGCATATCTCCTTTTGAAAGAATAACGTAGTCTAGATGAAACCTAAGAGTCACATCACCATCTGTTTTTTATGAAGGGCTTGATTCCAGCAGCCTTGAAACTTAGTCCTGTGGAAGGTGTTTGGTTTGAGTAGCATGTGCAGAATCTGGACTACCTTTGGGTCAGATGCTGTTGTCCTCTCATGGAAACATTTAATCTATTGAAATGGGCAAATAGCTGTGGTCAGTAAATTAAATGGGATCCGATGCCTGTGGCATGAGTGAAGAGGCATTCAATTTTCTGAAATGTCTTGGTTGTTGTTTTTTAAATGCTTGACTGTCTGATTTGGTTGAAATTTCAAAGAATGAGCTTACTCCAGACATGACCCTTACAGGCGAGTTAGTTTAACTGGCAGAACACTGGCTACAGCATTTGACTGAAAATCAAGTGGCTCTGCTGTCCTTGGAATATGAGGGGTTGACTCTTTAAGAGGAGATGGGCTTCAGCACCATTTGTGACATTCTTAACTTGCTCCCCTGGAAAAATGGCTTAATCAGGCTTCTGGAATGGATAAGGGAAAAGCCTGGATAGTGAGATGCCAGAGGAGAGAAGGAAAAGTCAAGGAAGGCCTCTAGGAAAGTAGCAAGCTTTGGAAGTTACTGCTCAGTAGAGAGCCATCGCAATTCAGGAGGGACTAAAGAGGGAGACACAGAAAAAGAGGTCTGTGATTGGCTGAAAGCTGAGACAGAGGGAGGTGCATCAAGTAGTATTAGTTATTGAAAATGGACCAGATCCTCCGTATGGGGGGACTAAGCCTAGTTTGAAATTGGCAAGACATACTTGACTTTGTGTTTATGTTTGTACTTGGATAATGATGGAGTTTTTGTTAATTACTTAGCTGGATGGCCAAATCACTGCATCTACCAAACCAAACAGTGGAGTTTTTGAGAAGACTTAACATGGGGGAATTGAGGCAGGAGTTATGGAGGTGGCAACCCTATTACAGGGATTGACCAAAAATGTGGACTTACCCAAGAGTCTTCTGAACCATCTTGGCTTCTTGTCCCATATGATAAAGAGGTAGTAGGCAGGGACACCCGTCAGGGTTATGGCAAAGCCTATCCCAGTATTAACAGGATCAGAGTAAAGTGACAGTGCAACCATGAAGAGGCAGGTGAAGGAAAACAAAGCTGGAATAAATAGCGGTACCTGAAACACAGGCAAAAAAAAAAAAGTTATTACTTCCCGCTGACCTTGGTTATTGAATGACATAGGTATTTAATGTTCCATGAAATGTAAATTGGATAAAACACAGCAGCACACTATAGTTCTTCAGAAATACTAATGTTTAGAACATGCCTTTGAAATGTAACTAAAGAAAATAAATTAAATACAGCATTATGCAGGAAGCACTACAGCAGTCTGTTAATTACACACTAAAACACCAGTGCTTTGCATCTTTTAAAATGTAAAGGTTGTAAATACGTTACACTACAAAAGTCCTTTTCTAGTCTTCTATTAGACAAGAAGCACTAAGTATAGTAAAGATTTCCTCAGTGATAATTACCTATTAGATCCCATTTTAATATAAAGCTAGGCGCTCAAGTCGCCAGCTGCCTTTTAAAATTATAATGTACATATTGATATCCCTCTGAAGGTGCAAAACAAAATCTGGCTAGAAGAGCACAAGATTGTAATTTAATCATGGATAAAAGATATTTGATAGCATGAGATAACTGACAGGTACTGAAGTAGTATTGTGCTTCTGACAGCATGACTGATAAACTTATCAGTGTCTCTCTGAAAACAGAAAAAAATAGCAATTAATTCTCTCAACTTTTGACAGTGATGATATAAACTGTCTTTTCTCCTCTTGGAAGAAGGTGCCTGATGCTACTGCTAACTAGACACCTGGTGTAATGGCGAATTCTCAAGAGAATTCCCTTGCCCATAGACATTACTGATACTATATTATGCCCTGTTAATGTGTAGTAAAACGAAGAAATCGAAGAGAAATATGCTAACCTGCTGTCCTTTCATTTACATGCCTAAAAGAATGCAAGGAGACAGACTTATTTTTAAGTTAAGTTTCTTTCACCTGTTTAAAAAGGGATCAATTTTTGCCACTTTTACTCATGCTATGTACCATCTTGCTTTACAAATAGCCTCAATGCGAATACTCATATAGTAAGCTCATATAAATAAGGTATAGTATACTCATATAAATAAGGGTGGCAGAACAAAGGCTGGAATAAGTATTAGGCCAGATTTGAGCAATTTTTCAGGGTTCAAATCAGTGCTCACACATAACAGTGCCTGCAATTAACTGTGGGCACAAATATCAGTAATTTAATGTCTAATGACCTGTTTGCACCTGAAATGTGTGATTGATTCCAAATAAGATTCTGTAGAGAAATTAGGAAAATAAAAATAAAAAATATACCTTTGACATCTAACTATAATTATTTGTGCCTGACATTAACTCACATTGCAAAAACACGGATGACATTGTTTGGGCCTGCAAAACAGAAACCAGATAGGGGTCCAGATGTAATGTCCCAAAACACTGGCCTTTTCATAGATACACAGTTGTGTACAATTAGGAGGCATCTTCACACAGTTTGTTAGATTAGACATTAATCACAACCTACTACCTTACTCCCTCAACATAGCGTGTGTGCAAAATTGAAAAACTTCATTTTCACACACCAACCTACATATAAATATACAACTTCTTCTCCTCAGACCTCATCAACAGTGAACAAGAAAGACTTCTCTAGAGAGAAGCAGTGCTAGATTAACATTTTTGTTCTTCTTTGGAGATCTTGTAGAGAGAAACAAGCTGGAAATTCTAATGTTAAACATTTAAACTATAGTTAAAGAATCAGTTCTGTCAACACAGCTTGCTTGCAAGCAGTTTACATTTTACTCCAGAAAATCTACTGCCTCATCAGGCTATGGGAATAGAGGAGGGTTAAGTATATGGAGAGAGATTTATGTAAAAACAGTCAAATTGCTGAAATTACCTTGAAAGGACGAGGCATATCAGGACGTTTATATCTGAGGTAAATCAGCCCTGCAACTACCAGTCCAATAAAAAGCCACCTGGCAAAACTTAAGAAGTTCAGGAGGCTGTAGAGATCCCCAGTGAAGAGCATTATCATTGTTAACGGGTGCTGCAAAAGAAATTGAGAGCATAAGAGAGTCTTAATGTCCCAACTGCTTTTATTTACATCGTCATCTTGTATTTATAGTATGACTTCAATCTCATAACTATAGGTGACTCATGGTAGCATTTGGGGAATACACTACCCCTATTCCCCCACCTAACTTTAACTGCTATAGGGAGTGCCCCCCATACTGCCTCCCTGCTCTTATGGGTGGCTCTCCCCGTCCTACCTTCAGGCATCAGACCACCCTGCTCAGAACCAAGAACAAACACATTGCTGAAATGCAATAATCTCTGGGGTGAAGAACAGCAGCGAGCTTCATACAGAAGGATGTACACAGCAAGAGAAGGGGAAATTTTGGTCAACACCAGGACACACCCCTACTATGAGATCTTTAATGTCTACGTACTTTGGCAGTTAATTAAACTTATAGTTACTAACGTGAATCTAAAGCAGAGGTGGGCAAACTACAGCTGGCAGGCTGCATCTGACACATCAGTCCTTTTCATTCCTGTTCCACACGGCTCCTGGAAAGAGCAGCATATCCCCTTTCTGGCTGATTCCTAAGCTTAGGGCAACCAGAGGGCTCTGTACGCTGCTCTTGCTCCAAGTACCACCCCCACAGCTCCCATTGCATCTGCAGACAGGGGGAACCACACACAGAGCCACCTGGTTGCACCTCTGCTTAGGAGCCAACCAGAAGGGGGTCATGCCGCTGCTTCCAGGAGTTGCTTGAGGAGTAAGTACAGCCTGGACTCAGCACCCCTTGTCCCCCCCAAGTCCCAGCCCCCTGTCCTATCTCTGATGCCCTTCCCATGCTCTCAACCCCTTGGTTCCAGCCTTGAATCTTCTGTTGCACCTCAAACCCCACCCTGGCCCAGAGTCTGCACCCTGAGTCAAAGCTCTCATACTCCCTCCCCTAAGCTCCAACCTCCTGACCCAGGCCAGGGCCCCCTGCCATCCTCTGAACCTCTCAGTCTCAGCATAGTCCCTTCCTGCACACCAAGCCCCTCATCCGTGGCCACCCCAGAGCCTCCACCCCCATCCAGAGGCCTCCACACACACACACACACACACACACACACACACACACACACACACCAACCCCCTACTACAACCCAAAGCCCCCTCCTGCACCTTGAACTCCTCATTCCTAGCGCCACCCCGAGCCCTCACCCCATCCTATATCCCCAACCCAATTTCATGCGCATTCATGGTCCTCTATACGATTTCCACACTTGAGGTGGGCAAATCAGAAAAAGTTTGCCCACTCTTATTCTAAAGAGTAGTGTAGAAACTCCCACACACATTTGATTTGTTCTATGCTACAAACCTATTTTAATAAAAGGGGTTAGCTTAGGTTAAAGAATTAACATTTAGAGCCTAGATCAAATGGCTGGGGAATGTCCACACTTGATTTTACAAGCATGTTAAGAATCACAAGAACACAAATAAAAAATGTCAAGTGAAAACTGGCTCTCAGTTTTTATGTTCTAATTCAAAAGACACCGCCAATTTGTATTCTTTGTTTTTTGAATGAAGGGCTAGGTCGACCTTGCTCTAGGCTATGTGTTCACTGCCAAACAAAAAAAGTGAAAAATCCTAGTGGAGACACACTGGGCAGTTTTTACTGAGATGTAGTGAGGCAAGGTCAGGAGGCGAGGGGAGGGGGGGTGGAGCTCACAGGGCTGGCCTTTCTTGCTAAATTGTGATAAAAACCACTTCTAGTAGGATTTTACAGCAAGAGCTAGTTAACTTGTATTCATTTCTCCATTAAAAAACAAAACACACATATATTTTTGGCCATATCTGGTCTTTGGACAGACAGTGTAAATATATCAAACACGGGGTTTACCCCACTGAGCATCTCCTGTGACTTCCAGTCCATTATGATTTACACAGTGCTCACACTGTGTTAAGTTCTTTACAAATAAAAGAAACAGGGCAAAATCCTTACCCTGCTGAAATCAAGGGCAGTTTGGCATTTGATTTCAGTGGGGACAGGATTTCACCTATAGACTCTGCCCCCTAAAAATCTTTAACCTTAAGCATGATGCTGCATGTCAGGTCAAGCAAAGGTTGGAGGTGAGAAATAAAAAAGGCTGCAAATAAGATCTCACAGTTACTAGGGCTTGATATATGCAGGTTTTGGTCTTAAAAATTCTCCAAGCCATAAATAAGTCAGTACGTAATATGCAATGTTTTCCTTTCTTCACTCTGTGTACATGCTCATTTTCCTTCTCTTCCCCAAATAATCACATTGCATTCTTGTGGTGCTCCGCCCTCTCCATAACACACAAAAGGAAAACCTGCAGACATGCGACAGGTCAGAGCAGAAAATATGTTCATAATGACTGCACTTAAATCTAGGATTGCATGAACAAAAGGAAAGACTCAGAGTACACTCCATCTTCCTACAGAAGCACACTGCTTTTGCATGGAAAAAGCAGGATGTGTAACTCGAACTCGCACAATAAAAGGGAACTAAGGGAAGCTGCACTGCCCATGCACTATAATAAAAATGTAAGTCACGAAAGAGCCAATAAAATAGTAAGCAAAACAAATGGAATGTTGCAGGGTAAAACAAATACACTAAAACATCTCCCTCCCCCAACCCCTGTAAGTACAGACCCCAATTTTCAAACTTGGGCACTACATTTTGATATCTAAATGTAACATTCAACATTTGGTGGATGGTGACACTGCAATTGGATGTGTGATAGCAGCACATGGAGTCGTACTGGAGCTAGCTTTGATCTCACCAGTGCAGATACCAGCTACAGTGGAACCATGGCAGCATGGGAGCCAGCACAGTATGTCCCCAGACTCCCTAGTGGGCTTGTAGTCAGGCACCTAGGCCATCCTGCTGTTGCTATCAGCACCTGTGCTAGACAGACTAAAGTTAGCTTGAGTGTGTCTCCACATGCTGGGCCTGACTGCAGTGCAGACAGAGCCTTAACCCGACACTCGCACATCCCAAAGTGCACCTACTGTAAGTATTGATTTAGGCCCAAATCCTGCAATCTGAGACTTCCACACCAACATGGAGTCCCACTCAGATCCGTGGGACTGTGCAGGGGGACAAGGGTCAAGCAGTCTGGAGCAAGGCCATTGGTTTAACAGGGTCTGATGTGGAGCACCCACAATCCCCATGAAAGACTGAGCCCCACATGGAAATTTATTTACAGACATAACAGCGGAGTTTAAAAATTAGGGGTTGAACGACTGCTCTATTTTCCCCTAATGCTTTATTATAGAAACTAGTATCCAATGAACACAGAGCCAACTTTTAGCTGTGAGTCTGTTGTAGGAATTAGTAACTGGCCCATCACTATATACTACTTGCTGCTTTTCCTTTCTTCTCATAGCCTTTCACTATTGTTTCTCTTAGCCATCTTATCTAGCATACGCTCTCACAATGACTAAAAAAGCAATCACTGTACTGCTCAGGACTCCCCCCTCCTGCATTGTCTTTGTGTATAATTGCTTGCATTTTTTCACTTTAGGGTGCTCTCAGGCAGTACTGTTTAGCGGCACTTCCAATTACGTGAATTTGAGTTTTATTTCTCTACTTCCTTTTCTATGAGACTTCATGTTGCTGAAAGAGGCCCAACTAATCACTTTCTTTCAACCTCCCAAATCCTTAGAAATAAAGTGTAATGAGACAGGATTTAGGTAGCAGCCTCAGGGAATTAAATGCTGCTATCAGAAACACAAAGCAAGCGGTACTAGAATACACCACTTCAGAGTCTCACGTCTGTGCTTACTGTCCTCTGCCCCTCACCAAACCCCACAATATAAATTAATAATAAATGAAACTCCAGCAGTGCCCACGTTCTGCTTGAATCCTCCCAGGCAAGTCTGTAATACACAATCTTGTGCAGGAACATTTGTTTGTATGATTTACCAAAACAATGACAGCTGGCAGAGGAGTGTGCTTGCGGACATGAATCATGGAGAGAATTTCCGGAAGGTGACCCTCACGGGATGCAACGTAGAACATCCTAGCGGGAAGTAAATGTGAACAGACTTTAAATACACTCATTATAAAGAAGAGTCAAAAACATCTCACTAGAGATGCAGAACACGTTGAAAGTTATCCTGAGCAGTACTACTTATTTTTAAAATGTTCAGCTTTCAAAAGATGTCAGAAGCCCATACTCAGAACCAAAGCAAAAGGCTTCTAACCATGTTCCATCTCAATATTATCAGTCTTTACAAGCTGTTAATAGAATGTTTTCCCACATTTACCACATACGTTAGAAATAAAGCTTTAATGAGTTAGGAATTACACTAATAGGGATTAATATTTAAAACAATTCACAAGATTTTAGCAATATGTTGGTAATGCATGCCAAACATGATAAAAGTCATAATGATAATTGTAGCCAACCTCTCCTGATATGTAAAGGAATTAATCCTGGTTTAATTTGCCCTCTTTGGTTTTGAGTCATTCCTTAATTGTACCCACGTTTCATCCCCACCACCCTGTGCCTCTCCAATAATGTCTTGATTTTCTTACCTGGAGACAGCAAAGATGCCACCATTCATAGACCCAAAGCAGGAAAGGGCAACAAATATTGGAACAGCTAACGAAAAATTTCCCATTAACCGTTCAGCAAAGGTCTGGTACAAGAGAGAAACACGAATTAACAGAAAAAATAAGAGATTTCACATGACCCTATTCTATAAATTTGTGACATTGTGTACTGCATGTTTGTTCTCTTTTTTAGTGTGATCTATATGGGCAAATGTCTGCTCCTACTCAGTGAGTAGCATCTTATTTGGACAGCAGTGTCTTATTTCAATGTGCCTACTTGCCAACAAAGGTACTATTTCATGGAAGAGGGGCAGAATCTGTCCCTAAATATTTATTGTTTTAAATAGTCGACTATTCATTTACATTATGCAAAGGAAAATCTATATCTAATCTCCTTTTGGCATACATATATAAACATTCTCAATAGATTTAGAATGATCACCATTCTGTGATTCCATCATCCTATAGTGGCACCCCGTCACATCCTACTCTCCTAGGTTTTTACCATAAGCGTCTGTTTTTTTTATCTTTATGGTTTGAAGGAGCACACTGGTGCTGCCCAGGATTTTCTGTGTTCCCACAAAACATTCTGCTGCTAAAGGTTGTACATTACAGAATTAGTCACTTGGAAATAGTGTGTTCAGAGTCTCTCATTTTAAAAAAACAACCCCTTAGCCGTGTCAACCTTGGTATGTGGTGTTATACTTGTCTATTGCAAGACAGATGCCACAAGAATAATGAACTCCATCACAATTCAGCAAAACACTTAAACACATACTTAAGGGCATGCTTAAGATCAAGTCCCAGTGACTCTAAAGATTCAGCTGAATAGGGATCAGCTAATGTTATCAATAAGCTTAAACTCATCGGTATTCATCAGTAAGGGATCCAGTAAAAATCAATGAGACAGGAGCCCATGTTTAAGTGTTTTACTAACTTGGGACCTTATAGGAGTATTTCTGTGTAGCTTCATTGTAAGTTTCCCACTTTTTTATTCTTATTTTCAGGGGAAATGACCAACTTTAACAACTGCACATCTGTTATACTATAGCCAGATCTATACATTCGCATTTTTCCTCAATAACTTCCCCCTGCCACAGCCTTTGAAATTAGCAGTTCCTCGGGGCTTATTGCAGTGAAATAAGCCACATTTGTTAACACATAGCCAACTGTGACAATAACCATCGAAATGCATATTGCAAGTGGTATGTTTCTGGAAGACACAAAAAAGCTCATTAGTTGCAATCTGCTAGTCATTCCCTCAAAATGAAGCAAATGAGAACATGAGAAAAAGTCATTTGGTCTTTGTCCTTTGTATGCCTAGATCTAAGATTGGCATGAACAGATGAGCAGCTGGTGATCTAGAAAATTATAACTACAAGCTACAGATTTAAAAAAAAAAGAAATTGACATTCCATGTCTCTAATTTGAGTCAGCTATTCAAATAATAATACATAAGCAGAAAAATTCTGTCCCTCAGTCATGCATATGCAACAATATCCTCAATAAAGCTCTACCGTGTGCCAACTGACATTCACACTGAAGACTGGACTTTATGGAGGTAACAGAAGACTGAATTTGCCTCAGAAATTGTAGAAATAAGCATTAAAACCTTATTATTTTATCAAAACAGGAGAAGGACAAAGGAAGTGTTAATAAACAACCACTATGTATTATACAGCACTTTTGATCAGTAGTTCTGAAAGAAGACAGTGTCATTACCCCTGTTTTAAATAAAGGAAAACTGCATTGTGGAGGCAAAATGACATGACCAAGATCATGCAGTAAGTACAGCCTGGACTCAGCACCCCTTGTCCCCCCCAAGTCCCAGCCCCCTGTCCTATCTCTGATGCCCTTCCCATGCTCTCAACCCCTTGGTTCCAGCCTTGAATCTTCTGTTGCACCTCAAACCCCACCCTGGCCCAGAGTCTGCACCCTGAGTCAAAGCTCTCATACTCCCTCCCCTAAGCTCCAACCTCCTGACCCAGGCCAGGGCCCCCTGCCATCCTCTGAACCTCTCAGTCTCAGCATAGTCCCTTCCTGCACACCAAGCCCCTCATCCGTGGCCACCCCAGAGCCTCCACCCCCATCCAGAGGCCTCCACACACACACACACACACACACACACACACACACACACACACACCAACCCCCTACTACAACCCAAAGCCCCCTCCTGCACCTTGAACTCCTCATTCCTAGCGCCACCCCGAGCCCTCACCCCATCCTATATCCCCAACCCAATTTCATGCGCATTCATGGTCCTCTATACGATTTCCACACTTGAGGTGGGCAAATCAGAAAAAGTTTGCCCACTCTTATTCTAAAGAGTAGTGTAGAAACTCCCACACACATTTGATTTGTTCTATGCTACAAACCTATTTTAATAAAAGGGGTTAGCTTAGGTTAAAGAATTAACATTTAGAGCCTAGATCAAATGGCTGGGGAATGTCCACACTTGATTTTACAAGCATGTTAAGAATCACAAGAACACAAATAAAAAATGTCAAGTGAAAACTGGCTCTCAGTTTTTATGTTCTAATTCAAAAGACACCGCCAATTTGTATTCTTTGTTTTTTGAATGAAGGGCTAGGTCGACCTTGCTCTAGGCTATGTGTTCACTGCCAAACAAAAAAAGTGAAAAATCCTAGTGGAGACACACTGGGCAGTTTTTACTGAGATGTAGTGAGGCAAGGTCAGGAGGCGAGGGGAGGGGGGGTGGAGCTCACAGGGCTGGCCTTTCTTGCTAAATTGTGATAAAAACCACTTCTAGTAGGATTTTACAGCAAGAGCTAGTTAACTTGTATTCATTTCTCCATTAAAAAACAAAACACACATATATTTTTGGCCATATCTGGTCTTTGGACAGACAGTGTAAATATATCAAACACGGGGTTTACCCCACTGAGCATCTCCTGTGACTTCCAGTCCATTATGATTTACACAGTGCTCACACTGTGTTAAGTTCTTTACAAATAAAAGAAACAGGGCAAAATCCTTACCCTGCTGAAATCAAGGGCAGTTTGGCATTTGATTTCAGTGGGGACAGGATTTCACCTATAGACTCTGCCCCCTAAAAATCTTTAACCTTAAGCATGATGCTGCATGTCAGGTCAAGCAAAGGTTGGAGGTGAGAAATAAAAAAGGCTGCAAATAAGATCTCACAGTTACTAGGGCTTGATATATGCAGGTTTTGGTCTTAAAAATTCTCCAAGCCATAAATAAGTCAGTACGTAATATGCAATGTTTTCCTTTCTTCACTCTGTGTACATGCTCATTTTCCTTCTCTTCCCCAAATAATCACATTGCATTCTTGTGGTGCTCCGCCCTCTCCATAACACACAAAAGGAAAACCTGCAGACATGCGACAGGTCAGAGCAGAAAATATGTTCATAATGACTGCACTTAAATCTAGGATTGCATGAACAAAAGGAAAGACTCAGAGTACACTCCATCTTCCTACAGAAGCACACTGCTTTTGCATGGAAAAAGCAGGATGTGTAACTCGAACTCGCACAATAAAAGGGAACTAAGGGAAGCTGCACTGCCCATGCACTATAATAAAAATGTAAGTCACGAAAGAGCCAATAAAATAGTAAGCAAAACAAATGGAATGTTGCAGGGTAAAACAAATACACTAAAACATCTCCCTCCCCCAACCCCTGTAAGTACAGACCCCAATTTTCAAACTTGGGCACTACATTTTGATATCTAAATGTAACATTCAACATTTGGTGGATGGTGACACTGCAATTGGATGTGTGATAGCAGCACATGGAGTCGTACTGGAGCTAGCTTTGATCTCACCAGTGCAGATACCAGCTACAGTGGAACCATGGCAGCATGGGAGCCAGCACAGTATGTCCCCAGACTCCCTAGTGGGCTTGTAGTCAGGCACCTAGGCCATCCTGCTGTTGCTATCAGCACCTGTGCTAGACAGACTAAAGTTAGCTTGAGTGTGTCTCCACATGCTGGGCCTGACTGCAGTGCAGACAGAGCCTTAACCCGACACTCGCACATCCCAAAGTGCACCTACTGTAAGTATTGATTTAGGCCCAAATCCTGCAATCTGAGACTTCCACACCAACATGGAGTCCCACTCAGATCCGTGGGACTGTGCAGGGGGACAAGGGTCAAGCAGTCTGGAGCAAGGCCATTGGTTTAACAGGGTCTGATGTGGAGCACCCACAATCCCCATGAAAGACTGAGCCCCACATGGAAATTTATTTACAGACATAACAGCGGAGTTTAAAAATTAGGGGTTGAACGACTGCTCTATTTTCCCCTAATGCTTTATTATAGAAACTAGTATCCAATGAACACAGAGCCAACTTTTAGCTGTGAGTCTGTTGTAGGAATTAGTAACTGGCCCATCACTATATACTACTTGCTGCTTTTCCTTTCTTCTCATAGCCTTTCACTATTGTTTCTCTTAGCCATCTTATCTAGCATACGCTCTCACAATGACTAAAAAAGCAATCACTGTACTGCTCAGGACTCCCCCCTCCTGCATTGTCTTTGTGTATAATTGCTTGCATTTTTTCACTTTAGGGTGCTCTCAGGCAGTACTGTTTAGCGGCACTTCCAATTACGTGAATTTGAGTTTTATTTCTCTACTTCCTTTTCTATGAGACTTCATGTTGCTGAAAGAGGCCCAACTAATCACTTTCTTTCAACCTCCCAAATCCTTAGAAATAAAGTGTAATGAGACAGGATTTAGGTAGCAGCCTCAGGGAATTAAATGCTGCTATCAGAAACACAAAGCAAGCGGTACTAGAATACACCACTTCAGAGTCTCACGTCTGTGCTTACTGTCCTCTGCCCCTCACCAAACCCCACAATATAAATTAATAATAAATGAAACTCCAGCAGTGCCCACGTTCTGCTTGAATCCTCCCAGGCAAGTCTGTAATACACAATCTTGTGCAGGAACATTTGTTTGTATGATTTACCAAAACAATGACAGCTGGCAGAGGAGTGTGCTTGCGGACATGAATCATGGAGAGAATTTCCGGAAGGTGACCCTCACGGGATGCAACGTAGAACATCCTAGCGGGAAGTAAATGTGAACAGACTTTAAATACACTCATTATAAAGAAGAGTCAAAAACATCTCACTAGAGATGCAGAACACGTTGAAAGTTATCCTGAGCAGTACTACTTATTTTTAAAATGTTCAGCTTTCAAAAGATGTCAGAAGCCCATACTCAGAACCAAAGCAAAAGGCTTCTAACCATGTTCCATCTCAATATTATCAGTCTTTACAAGCTGTTAATAGAATGTTTTCCCACATTTACCACATACGTTAGAAATAAAGCTTTAATGAGTTAGGAATTACACTAATAGGGATTAATATTTAAAACAATTCACAAGATTTTAGCAATATGTTGGTAATGCATGCCAAACATGATAAAAGTCATAATGATAATTGTAGCCAACCTCTCCTGATATGTAAAGGAATTAATCCTGGTTTAATTTGCCCTCTTTGGTTTTGAGTCATTCCTTAATTGTACCCACGTTTCATCCCCACCACCCTGTGCCTCTCCAATAATGTCTTGATTTTCTTACCTGGAGACAGCAAAGATGCCACCATTCATAGACCCAAAGCAGGAAAGGGCAACAAATATTGGAACAGCTAACGAAAAATTTCCCATTAACCGTTCAGCAAAGGTCTGGTACAAGAGAGAAACACGAATTAACAGAAAAAATAAGAGATTTCACATGACCCTATTCTATAAATTTGTGACATTGTGTACTGCATGTTTGTTCTCTTTTTTAGTGTGATCTATATGGGCAAATGTCTGCTCCTACTCAGTGAGTAGCATCTTATTTGGACAGCAGTGTCTTATTTCAATGTGCCTACTTGCCAACAAAGGTACTATTTCATGGAAGAGGGGCAGAATCTGTCCCTAAATATTTATTGTTTTAAATAGTCGACTATTCATTTACATTATGCAAAGGAAAATCTATATCTAATCTCCTTTTGGCATACATATATAAACATTCTCAATAGATTTAGAATGATCACCATTCTGTGATTCCATCATCCTATAGTGGCACCCCGTCACATCCTACTCTCCTAGGTTTTTACCATAAGCGTCTGTTTTTTTTATCTTTATGGTTTGAAGGAGCACACTGGTGCTGCCCAGGATTTTCTGTGTTCCCACAAAACATTCTGCTGCTAAAGGTTGTACATTACAGAATTAGTCACTTGGAAATAGTGTGTTCAGAGTCTCTCATTTTAAAAAAACAACCCCTTAGCCGTGTCAACCTTGGTATGTGGTGTTATACTTGTCTATTGCAAGACAGATGCCACAAGAATAATGAACTCCATCACAATTCAGCAAAACACTTAAACACATACTTAAGGGCATGCTTAAGATCAAGTCCCAGTGACTCTAAAGATTCAGCTGAATAGGGATCAGCTAATGTTATCAATAAGCTTAAACTCATCGGTATTCATCAGTAAGGGATCCAGTAAAAATCAATGAGACAGGAGCCCATGTTTAAGTGTTTTACTAACTTGGGACCTTATAGGAGTATTTCTGTGTAGCTTCATTGTAAGTTTCCCACTTTTTTATTCTTATTTTCAGGGGAAATGACCAACTTTAACAACTGCACATCTGTTATACTATAGCCAGATCTATACATTCGCATTTTTCCTCCATAACTTACCACTGCCACAGCCTTTGAAATTAGCAGTTCCTCGGGGCTTATTGCAGTGAAATAAGCCACATTTGTTAACACATAGCCAACTGTGACAATAACCATCGAAATGCATATTGCAAGTGGTATGTTTCTGGAAGACACAAAAAAGCTCATTAGTTGCAATCTGCTAGTCATTCCCTCAAAATGAAGCAAATGAGAACATGAGAAAAAGTCATTTGGTCTTTGTCCTTTGTATGCCTAGATCTAAGATTGGCATGAACAGATGAGCAGCTGGTGATCTAGAAAATTATAACTACAAGCTACAGATTTAAAAAAAAAAGAAATTGACATTCCATGTCTCTAATTTGAGTCAGCTATTCAAATAATAATACATAAGCAGAAAAATTCTGTCCCTCAGTCATGCATATGCAACAATATCCTCAATAAAGCTCTACCGTGTGCCAACTGACATTCACACTGAAGACTGGACTTTATGGAGGTAACAGAAGACTGAATTTGCCTCAGAAATTGTAGAAATAAGCATTAAAACCTTATTATTTTATCAAAACAGGAGAAGGACAAAGGAAGTGTTAATAAACAACCACTATGTATTATACAGCACTTTTGATCAGTAGTTCTGAAAGAAGACAGTGTCATTACCCCTGTTTTAAATAAAGGAAAACTGCATTGTGGAGGCAAAATGACATGACCAAGATCATGCAAGGATGCCAGCAATTGAACTGGGAGTAGAAACCAGGTCTCCTGAATCCCAGTCCAGTAAGCAACTCTACTCTGTAAGCAACATAGCCTACCTAGAAATTACATGCTATGGCCCAGATTAAGTAACGATTCAGATTTGAGAATTAAAGAATCAGTCTTTAGTTTCAGCTAACAGAAAGAAGCATGATACATACAGGATACACATTTCCTTTAGAAGGGGATGCTCCTGCTTCATGGATATTCCCGTCATCTGAGTCAGTCAGGAGTAAAGTTAAGCAAAAACTGCTTTAGTTCACTACTACTACTAAACCCTTGTACTCCAAGTGGAGTACAGGTCATCTACAAGTCTCTTCCACTTCACTCTGTCTTGAGACAAAACTTCTAGCTGACTCCAGGGGCTCGTCTACATTGGCCCCTTTTCCAGAAGGGGCATGTTAATTTCAGAGATCGCAATAGGGAAATCCGCGGGGGATTTAAATATCCCCCGCGGCATTTAAATAAAAATGTCCGCCGCTTTTTTCCGGCTTTTAGAAAAGCCGGAAAAGAGCGTCTACACTGGCCCCAATCCTCCGGAAAAAGCGCCCTTTTCCAGAGGATCTTATTCCTACTTTGAAGTGAATTTATTCATGAATGTATTTCATAGGATCAAAAGGTTGTTATGTGTAGCAATCTTTTGTATGAGAGACATAGACATCTATGGGAGTAAAGAGGGAGGAACAGGAGTTCTGAATGATCCAAAGAACCTGCTAGCACACCCCCCAGAAGAAACAAAATCAGGTAGCTCAAAGAGCACCTTTGGGATCCATTATGTACTGGTTTTATCATAACTCTTGCAAACTACATTGCCACTCCTGGGTAAGAATTTAACAAGGACCTTTAACATTGTAGGCTGCTGGCCTGTCTCCTGCAAAAGGCTGACATCTTGCCCAACTTCTGGATTAGAGCTTTCTCCTCAGAGCTTAGTTTATTATTCAAAACATAAACACACAATAAAGTTATTCCCAGTCTTTCTATAGGCAATCCTGGAGTCCCCTATCCAATGCCTGCCACAGGAATCCATGGGATTGCCAATTTTAGTTGGATGTATTCCTGGAGATTTCATCACATGACATAAATCTTTAATTAAAGATTAATCTTTAAATCCTGGAGACTCAAAGACAATTCTGGAGAGCTGAGACATGTTGGTTCCTAGGGTTTTAATGCAGTGCTGTTTCCTTGACCCAGGGATTTCCTCCTCCTACCATCACCACCTCAGCTGAGCCATTTCTGGCTCTTATAATTATCTCACCCTCCTTGCAGATGGATCTGTGAAGACTTTCTACCAAGCCCAAACACCTTTCATTAAAGGACTGTGCCTGAAACCACAGCTGACTGACTCCAGGCCCTTGGAACTTAAAGGGGCAGAACACCCTATGGCAGATGCCTATATAGAGCTTTCGAGTTTAAGGGACGTTATGGAATGAGAGACATTAAAAATACAGATAGAAATGTAGCCGTGTTAGTCTGGTGTAGCTAAAACAAAAAACAGGACTATGTAGCACTTTAAAGACTAACAAGATGGTTTATTAGGTGATGAGCTTATGTGGGCCAGACCCACTTCCTCAGATCAAATAGTCGAAGAAAATTGTCACAACCATATATATACCATATATACTTTGGTATATATGGTTGTGACAATTTTCTTCGACTATTTGATCTGAGGAAGTGGGTCTGGCCCACATAAGCTCATCACCTAATAAACCATCTTGTTAGTCTTTAAAGTGCTACATAGTCCTGTTTTTTGTTTCATTAAAAATACAGTGGCTGTGCCACTGTTCCAACATCTTAATTGCATTCAAAACTATGGTGAGTATTAAAGGAACTACTGATAAATAAGTAAGTGGTCATGTAGCAATGATTGAAATATGATGGACATCGTGGCACTGCATAAGTTCAATGTCATTTAAGGAAGAGGCCCGCTATCTTAGGTAACATAAGAAAAAAGGGAACCCAGCAGATTATACATGTCATTCAAGGCAAGAGAGAATGGGGTGGATGGGACACTACGCGGAATTCAAATACTGGTAGAAAAGCCATGAAATTACTATTGCATTGTTACCACTATAAAATGTCCTCTGTCTGCTGGCATAATCTCCTGTTCTGACTTTGAGTTCAGGTAGTCAAAACCACCTGAGCTAAAACTGTCTGTTCTTCATATGGAGTACTTATCAACCCCTATAGAGCTTAGTGCTACACGGTGCCCCTAATTCAGAGCTCGATATAATGTCCTCTCAAATAAAATGGCAGTTCAAATTAAAGAGGAAAAGTGCACTTTAAAACCCGAGTGTATATAGCACACTGAGTCCTAGCTCATTATGCTGAGTAGCACAAACCTCTGCTGATAGAAGGAAAAAAAACCCCATAACTAGTCAGCAAGTGCCATTCATTTTACATTGCCTGAAGATTGGGAATCATTGTGTTTCCAAAAGCCTTGAGCAGAATAAGAGGTTTGGTGACCTCTCAATTCTTAGTGCTCTTATGTAAAAGAAGTGTTCCATCTATACCTCTTTTTTCTCTCCCAGAATGATCAGGACCGTAGGGGTTTGCAATATATTATCATGTAACACCAGTGAGTGCTGCTTGTTAGATGGCTGCTTGCAATGGCAAATTTTGACAAAAGTATCTATCTAGTTTCATGATTTAAGGGATGAGTCATCCAATACTGGTTGATTTTTCATTCAGAACTACATTTTGTCACTTCATCATTGTATAGTGCATAAAGTCAGATCTGAACACTATATTGAAATACTGAGTAGGAGCTTTAAGAGAGTTTTTTCTACTGGTCAAACTGAAGGAAGAATTCCCAGTGAACAATAAGATACCTTTATTCACCTCAGTCTCATAAATTAATCCTTTCACTAATACGTGAGTAGTTTTAATGCTAGAACAAAAACTCTAGTTACAAACCAACTGCAAATGAGTATTCTCAGTGAATTAAATTAACTCCAGATATACTAGATCCATAAGGTCATGTGAGCGATATAATCTGTTATCTATGAGGCACTGAAAAGTTTGTGACATTTTAACAAATTCACAAAGGAACCTGAGCATATAAAATCCAAATTTAAGGACTACTGAGATCTACAAAACCTCTATTCAGCTGCCACCAAATACTGTAGGCATCTGAACTCATTTGTACCTATATTTTCAAAGTCCCATAGGCACTTAAGTGTCTGCTTCTGAGCATGTTGCCTGATGCAGGTACTGGAACACTTATTTCATAACTAAGTCCTAGCATGATCTTCAAACTAGGTGCTTACTGGCAGAGAAACATCCATTTTTCCTATGTAGCCTGGACTAATAGAGTGCTTGGAGCATGCTTGACTCCTCACAAAACAGCTCTGAGAAAGAAAAGCCTCTGATACAACCGCTAGGCCAATGGTGAGGGCACAGAAGACACGCATTGGTAGTAAACCATCAATGTTCTCTTGCTATGTTGTTCCTACACCGTTGTTGTTTTTATGGGTGGTGTCAACAATTCACAGCAGGGAGTGTTCCCAGGAGAAAAGTTGCTTGTTACAATGGTTGCTATTACAAGATGTTGCTGCAAACAAGTGTCTACTGTTCTCACCTGGGACACGTTATTCACCTGATTCAATTCCCTCTCTGCTTCAGGAGAAGGGATTTGAAAAGTGTTCCCCAACTCTCCGATGAGTGCCCTATATCTTGAATTATAGTGTTATTCTCACTCTTTTTCTGGGCCAGTTCATATTTAGGGAACTTTCAGTCATCTGGGTGCTTATCCCAATCAAACCAAACCTCTGAATTTTTTTATGATTTACCGATGACTAATTATCACTGGGGGACAAATCCCACTATCTTCCCCCAAATATGGTGCAGTTCCCATGCAGAAACAGAAAAGTCTGAATTGGAAGTGTACAAACCATGTGGTTCACAGAACACAAGTACACCCCAGAAAATTAGGGGATAGGAATGGAATTGGTAAACCCGCAATTATGTGGATCCAAAAGTTCATCATCTGCACCTTCTGTCAGAGCTCCACTACTTACTTATGGACCGGGAGAGAATTTGTTCCTTCCTGGATTTTGTCTCCCACCTAAAGACAGCCCAGTTGCTCAGACTATACAGTGATTTCAGGATTTGTTCCTAAGTTCAGTAAAATCATAGATCATCTGTCAATCTGCTCCACTACTGCATTACTTACTGCAAATATTTTCAAGAGAAACATACAGGGAAGACACAGGAAGAAAAAGATGAGAACCTGGGGATAGGAAGAACAACTTCAATAAGTCAGGTTATGAACATTCCCAGAGGTCTACAGCTCATATCCCAGCTTTAATGACAAGCTTTATAACAACAAACTGTAAGTGTTCAGAGCTGAGACCACTGCAGGCTGATCTTCCCATGAAATGACAGGTGCACTCTCAAAAT